CCCTGATTTCACGGCTGGCCCGCATCAAGAGGAAAACCTCAGGGGGTTTTGCTTTTTTCTTCTTCCAGGCGAGGCAAGCACCCACCTTTCACGCCCAGACCCCGAACCGGTTCCATTTACAAGGCAAATTGCGGCTCAGACAGCAGGTGCTCCCGGAGTCCTCCCTGCAGCAGCAGAAGGCAGAACTGAGAGCTAGCACGAGTTCCTTCAGCATGGGAAGATCCAGGAGAGCATCAACCAGAGCCGGAACCCAGCCCTGCCCATGGTTTGTCACTATGCACACACCGAGCTTCCCCCAGGACCCAGGTGGTGACAGGGACCCCCCTGCCGGGGGTCTCCGCTCTCACCATGGGGTGCAGGAGCTGGACCACGTCCCCAGCATCCCCGGCTGCCAGCCAGCAGGGAGATGGATGGGGACAGCAGGAGGATCGTCCCCAGCACGGGTGACATCCCCCCAGGGAGGGGTGGCAGGGGACAGGCGCTGATGGAAGGTTTCCTATTGAACAAGGAAACAATTTTAGAAATGTTCTGTCTGAACAAAGGAGGGATTCAATTATTCCGAGCCCAGAGCATCTTGTTGAAAATGCTTCCAGGCTGATACATTTAACCAAACAAAAGACCTTCCCAGACAGGCCCTGCTGGGATTTGGGGTGTGTTTCCCTGCGGCAGGGTCCCAGGAGCCCCCACTTTTGACCCCGGGGATTAGCACCAAGTCCAAGGGCAGCGCCTCGGGGGGGTCTCAAGGCTCAGGACCCTCGATTTGACTCAAAGCAATGGAAGAACAGCCACTGTAACCACGTTATTTCAGTCTGGGTCGACCTAAAAGTCAAATTAAAAATAATAATAAATTAAAAAATAATAATAATAATTTCCCGCAAAGCTCAAACCCTGGTTCCCAGCCAGCTGAAGGAGCCTGAAGGAGGCTGTGTTCTCCTGGGGGTGGCGCAGAGCCACGTGGCCCCCCCAAGGCCGGGCAGATGGCGAGCCTGCAATCCTGCCTTTGGGTCGCAAACCACATTAACATCCCCTGCTAATTATGAAGCGCCAGACTCGGCCCCCCCTCGGCCCCCGTTCACACCCAGCGATGCCTCGCACAAGGCAGCCCCACAGTGGGGGCTTCCCAAGACCCCTGAATCGAGCCCGAGCCCTCGCCGCAACCTCACTGAAAAGCCGAGCGAAGGCTCTGGTGCTGCGCAGCCCTTCAGCACCTCCACGTTTTCTGGTTTTATTTTAAGTATTTGCCAGAGGGAAGGCAGAAAGAGAGCTCCCAGCCAGATGGCTGCGAGAGAAATCCCTGCCTCGCAGCCGGCACAGGCGCGGTGTCCTTCGGAGGCTGGCAGAGGCATGGCGCTGCCTGGACCTCCGCGGCACCAGGAGCAGTCTGGGGCTGCAGAAGCACATCCTGCAGGCAGTGGCATCAACGCTGCAAATACTGCAAGTGGCACGATGACTTATCCCTGGGTATTTATAGACCAAAAAGCTCCGAAATCTTTCCCCTGACCTCAGCAGATGCGCACCTCCGGTCCTTGGGGCCAGCTTGTTCCGTGCTCCCAAAGCCTGCCCGTCCTCGGCCTCGTGCGCTCACTGGGGCACAGTGTTAGGATGCTGAGCGTCACCTCCTGCAGCACCACGTCCACACAGACCCCACTGCGCCACAACCACCCAGCAGCCCATGGCAGAGCCCCACAAGGACTGGGGTCCCCCCAGGACACAGCTATCCATACCCCAAGGTCACATCCCGGGGATGAGCCAGCCCCTGCGCTCTTGCACCTTCATCCTTCACCCTCGGGTCCAGCTGCACCCCAGTGGGATGCTCGGGGTGAAACCAGCCACAGTCCCACACTCTGCCCCAAATTTCCCGGTTGTTTGGACATGCACGACCCTTGTACCTCCAGCACAAACCACAGCAGCCCCGTCGCCACCCACAAGTCAAGGCTCAAACCTCGGCTCTGCCGCTGGTCTTGCCCGCAGCCGCTCTCCTTTGGGGTTTTGGCTCCTCCGTGGCAGAGGCTGGCGGGGGCCTCCCCGTGGGGGTGTCCGGGTGTCACTGACAGCAGCTGGTGAGGAATTTCAGCACAGCCCCGCTGCTCGCCAGCTCTTCCCATCTCAGTTTTCCCCCTGGCAGCGACACGATGCTGCCCAGCCCCAGAGATCAGCCAGAAGATAAAAGCCAAGTCCCAGCACTGCAGAAGGAAGCTACCAAGTGAGACCTCGGGTGCGCCATGGGTCTTCCCCAAAATATCCCCATCTTTATGAGCATGGGTAAGGCCAAACGTCTCAAAATCCTAAGTCGGGACAGTTGGCTGCATCTGATTCAGGAATGATTCAGACACAGGGAGAAAGGCAAGGGAGCGATGAGGGAGGGGTAGGCAACATCCCTGCATTTTAAGCTCAAGGTAAAACCCCAGGATTTATTCCTCAGCCAAAGAAAGGCTCTGACCTGGCTGCTCCTGTACCAATCCCATGTATATGAACACCTTCCTTACCATGAGCTGCCACGCCTCTAACTTCATTTCCATTTCTTTAACAAAAATCCAAACCCGCTGACATCTGGAAGCCCAGCTCGGTGACCACACCGAGGTACAACCTCGCATGAGGGAAGCTGAAGCCACCTCCCCTGGCAGGGAACTTCTTCAGCAGGACCCCTCTGCACCCCCTTCCCTGCCCTGGACATGAGATAAACCACTGCGGGCACAGGGAAAGGGAATCTTGGGGCAGAGTGACCTGTGCCAGAGGCTGAACAGGGAGAGGCGAGGACAAGGGCATGCACAGAGCTGCGGAGGGGGCAGCACAGGCAAGATTTTCCCAAATCTGCCTTCAACCGCTGCAATGCCCGTGTCCCACCGTGCGCCTTGCCTCGGCGCAGGATGTGCCACTCACCGCCCTGAAACCAGGCACTGCCCGCCCTACAGCTGCGGCACGAAATGCCCTTTGGCCCTTCCTGCTGCAGGGTTCAAGGTGCAGAGCTGAGGGCTCACGGGCACGGCAGGGAGGTCGGGCAGCTGGCTGGAGCGGGACGGGGTGGATACCGAACGGAGCCAGGACGCAACATCCTCCAGAGAGACCCTCGTCGTCCAGCAGCACCCTGCAGACACGGCAGAACAGAGAAGTTTTGTTCTTCGGGCAGGGAAAGCCTGAGCGGGGCCGTGCCGACCGCAGGAGCCGCGCATCCGAAGAGCAGCAGCCCTCCTGCTCTGCTGAGGAGGAAAATGGCAAGCCTCCACCGCCGGCGTCGCAGATAAGGCAGGGGATACTTCTAAGCCTGTCTCCACAAACACGAGGATTAGCAATTTACTTCTCTTCAAAACAAAATCCGGGATTTTAACGCGATCGCGGGATTGGAAAGAAAAATAAACACTGTGAAACTGGATGAGGGGGAGAACGAGAACAAAACAAGCAGCTGGGCAGTAGCTGAAGCGCTTCTTGAATCAGCGAGGAAAATGCACTGAAGTCAGAACTGAAGTCTCAGTAGCACCGACCAGACCCTGAATGTGAGGGCTCTCACCCCAATCCCTTATCACCAGTACCCACCAGCATTAAGGGAGTCCTTTCTAACGCCCATCCCAACAGGCCCACTTCCCTCATGGAACAAAAAAAAAGGCATATAAAGCATTAATTCCCTACCCAGGGTTGAAGAAGCAACCCTGAACACATGCCTGAAAACCCACCCTGCCACGCCACTGAGGGTTAATCCCAACCCACGGTGCTAACGAGCAAGCAATTAGCCCCCAGAGGACACGGCACAACCTGCACAGCACCCGGCACTGTGAAGGTGCCAGGGAACAGCTCAGGGCTCGGTGCTGTGGCTATCAACAGGACCGGGCACCAGGCAGGGCCACCGCGATGCTCGGCCCCACCGGGGGGATGCGGGAGGTGAAAACCCGCCCGATGCTCGCTTGTGGGACCCACCATGGGATGCTGACTGCCTGAGGGGTCCCATCACAGTGCCATGGCTGAAATCAGTTTTGCTTTAAGGGAACGCAGCCCCTGCTGTCCTTATCAGCAGCTCCCAACGTTAAACCAGCCTGTCTTCAGGGGAAAGCATAAAGACCCAAACCGCAATGGAAAGAGATGGAATTAAAGCCTGAAACCGCGAGGACGCAGCCCTTCAGCTGTTCCAGGCCAGCCAAATAAAGCAGGTTGAGTGGCGGCACTTGCTCGCGCCGCTACAGCTCGCGGGGCAGCAGGATGCTCGTGGCGTTAGGGGACACCCAGCACACCTCTAATGAATCCAGCACCACCGGGTGCTGGAGAAAAATAAATATGGAGAGAAAAAAAAAGGAGAAGGAGGTGGAAAGAAGGAGGGCTAACAGCATCTGCGTGTGCCTGAACATAAAGGGGCGAGGCCCAGGCGGTGGGAGCAGGGGATGAGGTGGGGAAGGGATGGGAGGGATGGGAGGTAGGGGGGGGACAGGGGAGGAGTGGAAGGGGACAAGAGGGTACAGGGAAGGATGGGGAGGGGGACAAGAGGGGACAGGGGAGGGAAGAGGGGGACAGGGGATGATAGGGGGTGGAGAAGAGGGGACAGGGGAGGACAAGGGGAGACAAGGGGAGACAAGGGGGGACGGGGGGGAGGACAAGAGGGGATAGGGGAGGATAGGGAGGGACAGGAGGGGTCAGGGGGAGGACAAGGGGGGACAGGAAAGGGACAAGGGGAGAAGAGGAGAGGGTGGGAGGAGGGAATGGGGTAACAGGGAGGGTAGGGGGGAAAGGGGGTGGACAAGAGGGGACAGGGGAGGACAAGGGGGGATAGGAGAGGATGGGGGAGGCAGGAGGGGTCAGGGGGAGGACAAGGGAGGGCAGGAGAGGGACAAGGGGGAGGGAAAGGGGTGACAGAGGGAAGGGAAGAGGGTGACAGGGGAGGGAAGGGGGGTGACAGGGGGTGACAGGGGGAGGGCAGGCGGCTCCATCCCCCCTGCAGGCAGCCCCCCGCCGCTCCCCACCCCCGATCAGACACAAAGGGCCCCGCGTCCCCCCCACCCCACCCCCTCTCCCCTCACCTGCGGGCCTCCCCCCCGCGGCCTCCTCGTCCTCCGCCGCCTCCTCGTCGTCCCCCTCGGCCTCCAGCTCTCCCTCCGCTCCCTCCTCCCGCCGCTCCGGGGGCGGCTCGGCGGTACCGGGGCCGGGCCGGGCCCCTCGAGCCCCAAGGGCTCCGTCAGCCGGGGTCCCCCCGCTACCGCTGCCGGGCTCGGGGGGAGCGGAGCCGCGGGGCAGGGCGGAGGCGGCGGCGGCCAGCAGGGCGGCGAGGCAGAGCAGGGCGAGCCCGGGCGCGGGGCGAGCCCGGCGCCTCATGGTGTCACGCAGCGCTCCGGCCTCCCGCCGCTCCGCCCTCCATCAGCACCGCGGGGCCGGGCCGGGCGGCGGCGGCGGCGGCGGCTCCCCCGCTCCCGCCTCCCTCCCGCCCGCCCGCCTCGGGGCCGCCGCTGCCCCAGCGCCCCTCAGGCGGCGCCCGCCGCGCCCCGGCCCCGCTGACAGCGCCGCGGCCCCGCCCGGCCAATCGCAGCCGCGCCCGGCCCCGCGTCGACGCCGGCTTCGCGCCGCGCAGCCAATGGGAGGGAGGAGGGGGCGGGGCGAGGGGCGGGGCCTCGCGCGCGGTGCGGGAGCTATGGGGGGGGGGGGGGGGGCGCTGGGCACGGCGCTTTGTACGCGGGGCGGCCTCGGGCGGCCCTGCCCCTGCCCGCGTCTCGTGCGAATTTCGGCTTTTTCCACATTTTTCATTCATATTTTCCCATTTTTTGTACGTTTTGGGCTTAGATTTTTCTATATTTTGCGTTTTCGTGGCTCGTCTGTTTATGTATTTTATGGTTCATATGTTGTGTATTTAATATTTGATAGGTTTACAGCCTTTATTTTTATTTTTATACATATTTTAGTTTATATTCTCTATTTTTATTTTTATACATACATTGTATACATTTTTTTTCTATATTTGATTATAGAATCATATATTTGACCTTTTCCCATATTGTATATTTTTATGTATTTTATGTCTTGATGGCCATTATTTTTATTCATATTTTATGTTTATATTCTGTTTATATTATTATATTATATTATTGTCTATATTATGTTTATATTTTTATTTTTATACATATATATTTGATCTTTTTATAAATTTGATCATAGAATCGATTTATATATTTGATCTTTTTCTATATTTGATCCCTTTCTATACATATTTTATATTTATATTGTGTATTTTTATACATATATATGTTATATATTTTATCTTTTAATAAATTTGATCATGGAATCATTGAATCATATATTTGATCCTTTTCTATATTTTATCCTTTTCTATGTTTGATCCTTTTCTATATTTTATGTCTATGGCTTTTATTGTTATTTATATTTTATATGTGTCTATTCTGTATCCTTATACATATTATATGTTATATATGTTATATTTTTATATTTATATATTTTATGTGTTGATGGTTTATATTTTACATATCTATATTCCGCATTTTTTATTTTCGTATATATCATACTTTATATATTTTATATTTTCATGTGGTTTATTTCGAAGCCAGGCCCACGCACGGTCCTGTTGGGAGCCACCTTGGCCTGTCCCGAGGAGCTACGGCAGCACAGCCCGGGGGGCAGAAAGCCTGGGGATACGGATATTAATTAATTATTAATTATTAACAGTGCCCCGCTGGGCCACTGCTACCTCATGCACACCGGAGACCGGTGCCTCACAGATCTGTGGGATGGGGAAAACGCATCAGCGATGCCAGGTTGGGGAGCAGCTCGTGGGGCCAGGCAGAGCTGGGTGGGCAGTGGTCACCCCAATACACCCCAATACACCCCCCTACACCCCCATACACCCCCATACACCCCAATACACCCCTCATGCCCCACTGCAGGAGGGGCATCGCGGCATGGCACGCGGCACACAGAACCTCTCCGCCACCCGTCCCCATCCCATGGGGATGTCCATGGACGAGCACTGGAGCCTCTCGTTCCTCTGGGAGCCAACACGGGGCTCTTGGGGTTTAGACAGCCTCACCTGGGCCCACCACACATCCCAGGCCGTGAGCCCCTCTCTAGCACAATATTTTGGGTTTGTCTACGAGGGAAACGCTGTCAGCGTGGCTGCTCCGGGCGCTGTAACTCGCTACACTTCCCCCAAATCCATCCCCTTCTCAGAAATGAATGGGGCTTTATTCCGGCCCCATAATATAATTATTATTCCCCAGCAGCTATTGCCGAGCCATTTCCCCCACGGAGACCATCCCTTCTGGGCCCGGCTTTGTTCGGGCACGGCCCCGGGGAGTGGGGGCTCCCCCCTGGGGGCACGCAGCCGGCGGAGGGGGCGGTTTGCTGCTCCCGGGTCTCCCCCAGCCTTTCCCACCAGGTTATTGTCTACAAAAATTGGAAGGAAGAAGCCGAGCAGAGGAACGATCATCAAGGAGTGGGTTGTCTGGAACAAAGAAATTCCTTACTTTTAAATAAAAGCCGGGCAGCCTCGGTGGCTGCCCCGATCCCACAGTCGGTGCTGCAGGGACGGACAGCCCAGCTCCCAGCTCCTGATGGAGCCACGAGCAGCACAGCGTCGTCTGCTGGATCTCTGGTTTCCAAAATATTATATTGTCTCCTACTGGGGAGCAGCCAAGCAGGAGAGAATATAATATTAAGCAAATCGTGACCCCTCTCGTCTCCGCATCCCCACGTGCCCTGTGCCGTCGCCCCATTTGGAGGAGGCTCAAGGAGACCCCATGTGGGCCAGCATCTGTGGGCGTTGGTGGGCTGGGGAAGCAGCCGGCAGGGAACCCGATGCAGGACTTGCTGCTCACCCCGGTGATGTCTGGTGTGGTGGCAAGTGCTGCACAGCCCAACGTGAGCCCCAAAAGATGAGCACCCCAAAACCCAAATCCACTTTGGCATCCCTCGGGCACAGCGCTGCCCTGCAGCAGTCCCGCTTCCCTTCTCTCCATAACCTCAGTTTGCGATCAGAAAGTGAGAGGTGTGCATTGAGCGAGGTGGAACCACGGGGAACGAGCTGACAAAGAGCAGCCTGGGTTGTGTGGGGCAGCCCAGCCGCCGTGCCTGCTTCTTGCACAAGTTCGGAGGGTATCGCCATCCTCCCTGGAATTGTTCCTATTCCATCAAATCAGCAAGATTTTCTTCCCCAGCGGAAAGTTTCTGTGAGCTATTTAGCAACCGGCTTTCTCTGACCTATTTGCAAGCCCCAAGCCTCTCTCCCTCCACCACCCAGTGCTCGAAAGCTTTGATAATTCAATGAGATGTTAATTCTGACACCCAGCATAACTCACGAGACAAAACCTTTTTTTTTTTTTTTTTAATTATCATTAATTGCAATGCAGGAGTAATGAATCTTCTCAGCAGCCTTATTACCTCCCATTAGGCCAAGGTGTACCGAGTTTTTTCTGAATTTGTGGCAGCTCCTTGGTAGGCAGAGCCCCAAAATGCCAGCACCATGCACAGCACCCATGGGACGGGGTCAGCATGGTGGGCGAGGGCAGGTGGCTGCCCCTTCTTTTAAAAGCCTGCTGCTAGAGGATATGGGCAGCTTTAGGTATATCACGGTCATCTTTTTGGGGAAAATCATGCTTTAAATGCAAAGGGTCTCCCCTGTGCGGCACTGAGAACTTTTCCAGCTCTGCTCCAGAGCCGGACCCAGCAGCTCTTTGTAGGAACTGGTGTCTCATCCTGCCCTCCCTTGCAGAGCCCTGTAAAGCCCTGGTTTTAGGGACACTGCTGTGTTCCCCAGGCTGCACCTCCACAGTGAATAGTTTCATTAATCCACATGCACGTTCACCATTTTTTAAAATCCTCAAACAATCCAAGGCGTGATGGATGAGACTCGGAATTCCCGAGAGGCTTCATGAACGAGCGCATCACGGCGCGGAGCTAGCCCAGGGCTCGGACAATGATCCTCACCAGGAACTGATTTAAAACAGAAGCAAAAGCCACGGCTTTATTTTCACTGCCAGGGCCAAGCAAGATGCAAGCAGCATGTGTGCTGGGACACAAAACATTTTAAAAAACATTTCTGTTTTTATGATCAGGCCTAACGCTAACAAGAAGACGTCAGAACACGTAGCTTTATATCTCTGTGTGTTTTAGAAATAAAACGCATACGTGCTTGCTCCAAAATAGCCAACATCTGGCATCTTTCTTGCAACTTCCCAGCCAGCAGCACAAGTCACCAGCCGACGGGGCTGCGAAATGCCACACGCCGCCGCAGCCGCTGCTCCCAACCTGGGCATAAACAAAGCCAGCATGAGCACAGGTCTGTCGTCATTTCGAATAAATGCAATTAGCAGCCAGCCCTCCTCCCTCGCAGGGGGGAGCACCGGTGGCACGGAGCAGGACGCGGCGGCTGGTGCAGGCAGCGCTTGTAGGTCCCAATTCTGCACGCGCTTAAAGAGCGGCTTGACTTTAAGTACATCAAGGTCATACAAACGGAAAGCTAAGCTTCTTTCACATCAAAAATCTCCTGCACATGTAAAAGACTGAATAAATTGCCTCCTGCATATGTTCATCACTGCTCTCTGAGAAGCTGGATTGAAACAGCTCTGCACTGCTGACTCAAACTGCTCAGAAACTGTGGCACTTTGCAATGTGCTTTCATCTCCAAAGTCATCCAAAATTTCCCAGAGAAGGTTTTCTGAGGCCTGGATCGAGGGTGACTGCGTTTGCTGTGCTAACAGAAGCACGGCAGCAGGAGGCTGCCGAGGGTGCAGCTGGTGCAGCACCGCGCACGGTGCCAAGGGGCGATGCGGGAAACAGCAGCTCGCGCCCTCGCAAGATTGAAATGAAATCAATCCGAGCAGGGAAGTTAAAACTAAATCAAGCAACTCATTGAAATTGCTTTGGAAAAAAAAAATATAAAAAGCCCTCTGAAGGTCAAAATGAGTGGCTCTGATTTCTTTCCCTGTCAATAATTTCCTACGTGCTCCCACAAAAGGGTTTGATTTCAGCAAAACTGCATTCCCTAATAAAAATTGCTCCTCCTGAAGTGCTTTCTCCTCTTCCTGCTGCCAACACAGCTTTGCCTGCAGCTGGGCCCCCCATTGAGCTGCAGTTGGTGGCACTGGAACTGCCACCACCACGGCCCCCAGGCTCCTGGTGCCTCCCTCAGCACTGGAGCAAGACCTGGGCAGGAGTCTCCCAGCCAGAGGGAGCTGCACCCACGGCTCAGCAAGGACTGTCCCAATCCATCATGCTCCAGGGAACGGGCTTTAATTCAGGACAGTCTTGGGGTTGGTTCTGATTTACAGCATTTCTGCCACTCCCAGCAGCTCCAGCTCTGAGCTAAATGAGGCCAGCGATGGTCAAATCTGTGGGGTTTGGGGGAGGAGGTGGGTTTTCTTGAGCCATCTTTTTCCACCAAGGTCATCTCAGCAGGATCCTCGCTCCTGCTTCTCCACGGGCTGCCCAGGGCAGCTTGCAGGCCCCG